AAAGCCAGAGAGTTCCAGAGAAACATCTACTTTTTCTTCATTGGCTATGCAAAAGCCTTAAAGTTCTTAAAGAAATGGGAGTGCCTGATCACCTCCTGAGAAATCTATATGTGGGAGAGGAAGCAACAGTAATTACAACTGAATATGGAAAAACTGATTGGTTCAAAATTGGGAAAGGAGTACGACAAGGCTGTATATTGTCCCCCTGCTTATTTAATTTATATGCAGAATACATCATCCCAAACCGGAATTAAGATTGCCGGAAGAAATATCAACAACCTCCGCTATTAAACCACTCTGATGTTAGAAAGTGAGAAGAAATTAAAGAACCTCTTAATGAGGGTGGAAGAGCAGAGCGCAAAAATTTTCTGAAGCTCAACATAAAAAAAACAACTCAGATCATTGCCACAGGCCCCATCATCTCCTGGCAAATAGAAGGGGAAGATATGGAGGCAGTGACATAGTCTACCTTCTTGGGCTCCATGATCATAGCAGCCATGAAATTAAAAGACAACTGCTTCTCGGGAGGAAAACAATGACAAACCTAGACAGCATCTTAAAAAGCAGAGACATCACCTTGCTGACAAAGGTCTGCATAGTCAAAGCTATGGTTTTTCCTGTAGTGATATATGGAAGTGAGACACCGGACCATAAAGAAAACTGAGCGCCAAAGAATTGATGCTTTTGAATTGTGGTGCTGGAAGAGACTCTTCAGAGTCCCCTGGACTACAAAGAGAACAAATCTATCCATTCTGAAAGAAATCAACCCTGAGTGCTCACTGGAAGGACAGATCCTGAAGCTGAGGCTCGAATACGTTGGCCATCTCACGAGAAGAGAAGACTCCCTGGAAAAGACCTCAATGTTGGGAAAGTGTGAAGGCAAGAGGAGAAGGGAACGACAGAGGATGAGATGGATGGACAGTGTCATTGAAGGTACCAACATGAATTTGACCCAACTCCGGGAGGCAGTGGAAGACAGGAGGGTCTGGCATGCTCTGGTCCATGGGGTCATAAAGAGTGGGACACGACTTAATGACTAAACAACAAACAACAACAGGGCTGTTGTTCTGTCTCAGACCTGGCTGCTGTGCTATTTAAATCTAATCTCAAATGGAGGCTGACAGGGACAATATTACCTGCTGGTGTCGTGTCTTTTGCCAAAATAGAGATTTGAAGGCAACAGAATAGACTTTGTCTAGCGTGGTGGGGTATAAGTCTAAATAAAAGTAATGTAAAGAATATTCTGTCAAAACTTGTACTGTCGTGTGTCATCATCCCCATACTGATTCTTGAACCCCTTTCCCTGAGCTTCTCCTGATGTTGAAGTCACATTAATAGAGATCCATCTGGTTCATCTACTCCGCTTGCCTGCTGGTTCTGATTCTCCAGTCTAAATTAACATCTCCCCCATCAGTCACTTCCCATAAGAAGACCATGGTCTGAGCTCTGTAGTTACATAAAATCAGACCTATAGTGGAGAATATCTGAGTGAAGGCAGAAGAAGGAAGAAGACGAAAGTTCTAGGTACAGATCTACTAGTCCATGAGTATGCAGTGTCAAAGCATTATAGGATTGCTTTGGATCCTGTGGAACCCCCGGTATACAGCACTGCTGTTGAGGTTGCTGCTCCTGAAAATATTTAGCACCTGCCACTAGATGTCCAAACACATCAGCAGCAACACCTACACCCTTGAGTCCTGTCAGTCTGCAGGGAAGAGTGCTTCCTCCTCTCCTAGAAAGTGAGGCCAAAAAGGGGCACTTTTAGCGAAACAGAGGTGGCTTCCTTTATGCAAAAAGGAGGTGGGAGGACTGTATACGAGAGACATATTGTTTATATTTTATTTATTCATTCATTCATTCATTTGGGAGGACTGCATATGCATACGAGAGGCATATTGTTCATATTTTATTTATTTATTTATTTATTCAATTTATACCCTGCCCATTTAGACAACGTCTACTCTGGGCAGCTTACAGTAAAATAGCATAAAAACAATTGCTACAGCTATTTAAACAACAATAATATCATTCAGGATGGGAAGATAAAACTCAAATGAAAAAATAAAGACAGGAGAATAAAAATAGAGAAGTAAAGATCAAGTAGTGACAGGAAGGGAGGCCTGCCTAAAGAGCCAGGTCTTAAGCTGGCTCTTAAAAATCTGCCCCAACTGCTTGCTCCAGTTAACAAACTCAACTAAGATGCCTTCCCAGGGGACAGACTGCTGTCCAATCTGTTTTGCCATTATTGATACATGGGAGCTTTCTTTATCTGTGCAGGTGGTATTCCCAAAGTCTCCTCCTTTAACCAAAGCTGGATCCTGATGCACAGGCAACATCCCCACAGGACCTTCCCTCAGATCGCACAATTCAAATGCACTTCATGAATCTGAGTCCTGATAATGCCTTCTGTTGATCCACACTGTAGCTTTCTGAGCTGGTTGGATGACACGCTTTTCTGTCATTAAAATGGCATTCTTTAAATCATTCTTTAAATCTTGTTCACCAGTGTTTCTATTGAAACTGCACATGAGATTTCCATCAAGTTCTAGCTTGAGACTTTGTAAGAACTGTGGCACAACAGAGGCTCCAGAGAGACGTCAACTGGAGTGTGTTTTTCTTCTTCTTCTGCTAATCCAAGTTTTTGGTTTACCTGTGGACCTTGTTCTGTATCCTGGAACCAGAATCCAAATTAATTAAGACATGTTGGCATGCTTCATAAGAAAACAGCGCATGTAACTGAAAGATCTGCACGTATTGCCTTTCTCCTGGCCTCATGTACATGCTTGTGAATGATTGCACCCTGCCAAATAATGTATTCAGAAGGAATGAAGTGCCAGAAAAGTAGAGTTGCAGAAAAGAAGTTGCCTGTAAACTGAATTTCTCATAAATGCCACTGAGACCTCAAGTTCTTTTCCACTTTTATCTGGGGTAGCCAGTGAGAGCTTAAGTGAATGTAACACAATGTGTCAGTTGTTCTTAGGATTTAAGTCCCTCAGTATTATTTACACTGTGAAAAGGCTGCATATTAGTTTTACTAGGTATTTCAGCCTGTGAAATAGTTGCTGAGAAGCTGTATGATTTACTGAGCAATATTCATTTTCCTTTGGAAGTTTTTCGTAGTAATAATTTAGCCTCCATTATTTAATAAAAGCCTCCATACATGTGTGCCAAGGTTTTGTGGGTTTTTTTAAAGTTATACACCAGTAATTCAGTTCTGAACCTGGGTTTTCCACTGTGGGCCTGCAGGAGTAAGGTGCATGCATGCTGGAAGCACAGGCCATCACAACCTGCAGCAAAAGCACTATGTATTCCTGAATGCATGAGTTCTCAGTGGCAGCTGTGAAGTTTTTCATTTAAAATGTTGCAAAGATGAGTTATCCCTTTGATTGCCCCAAAGGTGCTGGAATGAAGTTATGTAAAGCTGTAAAATTGAAGATTAAATTAAAACTTAATATAATTGTGCTTGAAAAATAAGTTATAGTCATCCTTAAGATCCATGGTGAATATATGTATATTTTCTAGACAACATTTTAAAAGGTATTTTATAAATTAAAGCTCATATAATAAATAATACTTTTGGAATCACTGATAGATAAGGTCTTGTCTTTCAGAGATTGAGGCCAAGGAAGCATGTGATTGGCTGCGGGCAGCTGGATTTCCACAGTATGCACAGCTTTATGAAGGTAAGAAAGAATGCCACTCAAGCAGGCTTTCTGTATCCTTCCTTTTTGCTGAAACAACTGTAAAACTTATTTTTATAAATAGGACACCTCATAATTGGATATAGTTAAGAGATGGGATCACAGACTTTCTTCATTGCATGTTGTAGGTGGGTTAAAGAGAGAGAGAGAGAGAGAGAGAGAGAATTGAATTCTGTTTTGCATCAGATCTGGAGCGACAGTACTCTTGACAGAGCAGATCCTGGATTTGGGGTGTGTGGTACAGTGTTGCTTTGTCATTTCAATTTTTATTTATTTTTGCTCTGTTATCCTGTAGTGCATATTTGATTCTGTTACCAGAGGTACTCAAAAAATAGTTGGCAAAGTGACACCCTTCTAAAACTAATCAGAGAAGGACAGGTTGCCTCTTCCAGGAAAATTAAGCACACCAACCCTTACCCTAATAAATGCACTGAGATCTAGAGACAGATTTGCAGTGTATGTTTTAGCAAGCTAGAATGTTCAATATTTCTGCATAAGAATTTATTTTAGTTACTTATCTAAACCATATAAGAAAGTCCACACAGTCTTGACTATTTTAACCTGTCATGTGAAGGTAGCCATGTGCTCTCCAAAGCTGTGCCATTGAAGTCTTGGCGCTGGCTATGCATCTGCCGAGCAAGGATCAGCTAGTCAAGTAAGAAGAGACTCATCACCAGAAGGCACTATCAAGTGTTGAACTGGTCACCCTAATTATAAAACACAATGGCAGAGTGAAAGAATTGTCATCAGCACTGCTGGAGGAGCTACTGCTGCACTGTCATGGATCTTCAGGATGTTCAAGATCTATAAGGGCACAATGCTTCATTTAAAAATAGGCCAATATTATTTAATATGCTCTTGCATTTTAAAAATGGCTTTTTGTTGTGTGCAGAGTTATAAAAATCTGTGGAGTGGCTTAGGAGCTTTATCACAATGGGACAGAAAAGCCCAATATAACCGCCTCCTCACAGCTGCTAGTTGTAACTGCATAGAGATGCTTCATTATTTAGCGCTAGAGGTTGCAGTAACACTAGGTAGGAGTTCTTGATGAATGTTTGAGAAGGGCTTTAATTTGCAGCTGCATTGGCAACAGTAGACGATAATAGCACTTCCAGAGACAACACTTGGCAAGTCTTCTATTTATCTGTTTAGGAACTGAGTTTCCTCCCATTATGTGCTCCACATTTGGAATTGACTTTATGCCAAGAATTTTAACATGTATATAAAAAATTCTCTGCAGGACAGCTCTTGCTATTGTCCACCCCCTTTGTTCAAAATTCTATATTTGTATGCTTTGATTTCTTTGTTCTGCCAAAGTTCAAAATTTCTGGAAAGCTTTTCTCCAATACAAACATGGAGGCGCACAAAACCTTTCAGTTTTTATTTTTTTGGCTTGTATATTTAAAACATTTTTTTTCCTTTCAGTGCCTTAGGCCCAATCAGAATCGTAGTTCTGCATTAGTGTGATGATTCTGATGGTTTCCAGCTTAGGATAGGCCTGAATGGCTTATGACTTATTGAGGCAGGCAGAGTTCATGAGCCATGAACTTGTGGTCTCCCTGATCCTTGTTTTGTGGTCCCAGGGAGGCAGCATAAACAGGAAGTTTATTCAGACCTTGATGGGAGTTGTATTTGCCTTGGCTGAATTGTAGATTGGACAGCTGATCTGTGGGACTTTAGTACTGAAAATTGGTATTTTCTGGTGAGAGGCTTGCAGTACATGATTTGGTTCCAGTTCCATATTTAAATATATTGTGCCTGTGTTCATATTTTTGTTAGTTTCTTTAGGAATGTCATTGTGGTGCTTTCAAGCAGAGCACTCATCACTGTGTGCATTAAGCTCCTGAAACGACACGAGGGAGGCATTTTCCCAGAGCTTCGAATAATTATTTTTGGGAGGCTACGTCTCCCAGAATTCCCAAGCCATCCTGGCCATCAACTAGGTTATTTGGGGATTTCTAGTTCTAATCCAAAAGTCCACTTCTCTGTGCTTTACATTTTCCATGTTGCAGGAGAATCCGTCAGTGCTGACAACTGCTCCTTCATATGAAAACCACTTCACCTAGATTAAATGGATTCTTAGCATGCAAGGATGATGAACAATAACTTTACTCACATACTAGCTTGCATGACTTCATGAGTGTGGCAGCAAAGAACTCCTTCCTGCCATATCCAGCTGACCATGAAGGGCATGTATGACTGAGACCCATCTTCCATTCTGCAGAAGGGGGAGAACAATATTTGAATGGGTGTACTCACAAGACTGTTGTAATGTTCCAGATATTGATTGGGCTTGTTGGTTCCTCTGTGCTCCATCCCAAGTCTATATATAAGACAGATCTGCACAGTTGGTATGGCAGACACACACAGCCCACCAGCCATGACAAGCAACATGTTTTTGCAGTCCCAGGCAGGTAGGGCAAACAAGAGGATGTAAATCCAATTGCTAATCCCAATGAAAGTAGGTCCATTGAATGAAGTGCTAAATGACAGATAAATGTTTAGGTAAATCACGTTGACTTAATGAATCCATTCTAGTTGTGACTAGCAGTTGGATTTAGGCTATATTTTCCCAAGCTCTTTGGGAGGGCTGCCATAAGCAGCTAGTGGACTACCTTCATTCTGATGGGTCACGATTGTGCAGGCTTAACCTAGTATGTTTTTTTGCCTCGGGGAGTGGAAACAACTGGAGCCTTCTAGCAGTTTGATTCTTCTTCTGTTCAGTTCATAACTTCTAACAGGATTTCAGTATTAGTCTATTCAAAATATCTATTCATAAAGTAGTGTTTTCTTTTCCCCACTTCATTGCTCTCCAGTGCTGTTGGAATTGTTAACCTATTGCCTAAGAGTGGCCTATACAGGCTCTTGGAAAGATTCCTTAAAACATTCATGTTTGTTTTAAAGTTCAGATTGGTTTTTCATAGCTCATGAAGTTGTGGACTTGGCTTGCTGCAATCTCCTTTCTGTTCCTTTCCTTCCTGTGACACATGGGAATTTAAGTCACCAGTGTGTTAAAGGTTCCCTATGAGAAACAAATCTGCTGTCGCACATCCAAGATAATCTGAAGGAAAATTTATCTTGCATCCAATGTCTTGAGAACAGACAGTTGCTCTAATATTTATATTCGGGGGAAATATTCATTCTGATTGGTCACCCATTCTAATTCTTACAGATCTTATATTTCCCATTGACATTGCATCAGTGAAGAGAGAGCATGACTTCTTGGACAGAGATGCTATTGAAGCCTTGTGTAGGTATGTGGAAAAATGCATACATAAAATATATAAAAATTCCTTTTAGGAAAGGGATCTTTGACATGGAAGAAGTGGGACACTTTCAGATGGTTTTCTTTTCTTTTTTCTTTTTTCTTTTTTTTTGCCTAGGCCACTCATTCCAATTGTACTTCATAGTCTAAAAGTTATGTTATGTGCTACCTTTAAGACTAATAAATGAATAGACTAAGATAGCTACCAACCTGAAGATTATAATTACGTTCTGGGACTTTAAAAAGTCACTGAGGAAAGTCACTGACTTCCTGTAATTGGCTCCAAGGATAGCTACCCCTTCTGTTTCAGCTACTAAATATCCAGCTCAAGAACAGGGTGTTGAATGCTTTATGGCAAGGTGTGCTCATTTCCTAAGGAAAAGCTATTTGAACTTTCCAGAGTTTGGAATGCATTACAAGTGATGCTCTTATTCTTAACTCTTTTTTGGTAGCATTGTTACTTTTAAACATTTTAAATTTAAAAAAAAAACATGGTAAATTTAGGCAGGGTGCATACCATGCTATGTTTATGTGTTACTTCAGAGTTCTTTAGAAGTGGTTACTGGGAGGGTTTTTGCCAGCAAGGGGCAACATTGTAATATTAAATGTTTTAATGAGAACAAGGTAAACACTGATCGTTTTCTTGTTTGCTTGATTTTTTTTCATGACAGCCAACATAGCATTGTTACTTCAAAACAGTGGGGTTATTTGGAGGGATTTTTGCCAGGGGGGTTTTAGCTTTTAAAGAGATTTTTATTTCTAAAAATCAGTTAAAATGCAATGTTAGCAACATAGTATTAACAAGTAAGCTGCAGGTAACTACCCCACTAGGGGGAATTTGCATTACGAGCAAAATTTACTTGTTACTGAAAAACATTACTTGGCATTTTTATTTGAGGAGATTATTGCCAACAAGCAGCAACACTACTAATGTTTAAGCATGTTAACAAGAACAAGTTTAATTCAGGAGATTTTTTTCATTAGAATATTTACTTGTTACTCCAAATTGTGTTGTTGTTTTTTTAGGGGATTTGAGGAGATTTTTGCCAACAGACTGATCTCCGCCCGCCCCTCTTGTTAGGATTTCTAAGGCTCTAATCATATACCTACTTGCCTGAGAATAAGCCTACTTGAATTTAGTGGGGCATATTTCAGAACAGATATAGAGGCTGAAATGCAGTCCCAACTAGAATGGGCTAATTGAATGAGGAGTTTTGAATTCAGTGGGGCATATTTCAGAACAAATATAGAAGCTGAAATGCAGTCCCAAGTCACAACTAGAATGGGCTAATTGAATGAGGAGTTGGTGAGTTCCATTGATTCACTGACCCTTTTCTAGTTGCAACTTACTGAATTTCAGTCTTAGAGTATTGTGTTGACAGTCCATTTCTGGACTTTCTACAGTTTGGTTTCAGTGTGCATTCCTTTTAAACAACATTGTAGTATTCTTTTCAAGTAGCACATTTACTGCAGGGGAAAAGCTTTCCATTCATTTTATTTATTAACAAAATAAGTTAACGTGTGCTTCCATTTAATACGAGATCCAGTGTTATTGTCACTTATAAATATCTCCGGTAAGTGATTGATATTCCATATGCATTTTCACAGCCTAGAATTCTCCTAGAAATGTAGCCTTAAAAATATGCACACCAACAGTGTAAAGATTAGTGTTCTACAACACCTACTTGGAAGTAAGCCCAGAGACTACAGAGAGGCTTACTTCTCTGTTGTTGATTTTCTATATCATTCCTGGAAACACACTCATGTAAAGATTAAGAGAGATTTTCCAAGATATTTTGTGCTCCTTTCCCTCTAAATAGGTCTTTTGTTTAACCCTACAAGCTTTTTTTTTTTTGCCTTTCTGTGAAGTGTGATAATACATGGATTTTTATTTTTAAAGGTGCCTCTGTGGAAATTATTTTCACTGCATTTACACTTATCTGTCTCAGCTGCCCAAGGGTCAGCTTTTAAAGAAGGAGCCTACAGATAATCTTTGTGAAATCAGACACTGTTATCAGGCTGGCTGGAAATATGTTTTCTCTGACAGATCAAAGTGATTGGGTTTCTTAAATGTGACAAATGCAACAGGTTGAAACTAGATAAAACCCAACAGCGGGACCAATGTTATAAAATGTGCAGATGTAAGTTGTTACCTAAAACAAACTTTTAGATCCAAACTCTTTATTTATTATCTTTTCTTAAGGTGGAAAGTGCAATCTTAGTTATCTTTGAATTGTTGCTCAGATTTAGTCTGTAATAAAATTTCTGATGTCATTTTTTTTTACTATTGGAAGCTTCTAAAATACCTTTTAAAACTCTTTAAATTAGCATATATATTTGCCAAATCAAAACAATCAGGCTGAGTGAACACCTAGTTTTTACTTTATGAGAACTGCAACTACATGAACAGAGTAATATAAAAAGCAAATGGGTAAATATGTAATCACTGTCATGAGTAGATATTTACAGATCAAGCAACCAGGATAGATCTCATCGAGATACATGAGGAAAGTGAGTAGACTAGTTTTTCCCCCTCCATCATCCCTCTGCTCATATGGAGAGTAACAATCTGAACAGAGCTACACCTTTCACCCAGGCAACCTCTTCATGTGATCAGAAACATTAAATGTGTAGGTTACCAGGTTGCATGGAAAGCCTTCATTCCTAGAATATAATTCCAGTCTTCAGGGTATCACATGAAAATAGATGATTGCGGGGTGAGCTAGCCTGCCTTCTTTTCTTGCATGTTCAGGCTAACTCTATCCTGAACAGGGTGTTATAAATTACTTGTGGAATAGTCCATTTTGTGTATAGTTCCTCTTTAAAGGTTGCTTCCACAAAGGGGAATCCACAACCCCCCTTGCACCTACTGTTTGCGGTGGGTGATCTCTGGCTTGTGTAACTGCAAATCAAAGACCACCAAGTCACATGCAGAAAATTGAAGGCCCTTGTGCTCTGTCTTTGTAGACAGGATACTGGCAATGGGGCACAGAGCTGGAGCAGTAAGTGGAAATGTAATTTTGTTTCAGGTCCATGACCTGATATGGATTCAATACTGAACTGTGCTGTGTTACACACACACACCCCGCCGCCATTGTTTCATGCACTTTCCACATCTTTCCTGCTGTTGCAGTCACAAGGAGGACCAAAAGCTTTTCCTTAAGTTATCAGTCACCAAATTTTATCACTATGTTCAGACTCTAAATAGGGATTGACGTCAATTATGGTACAGTATAGGGAAACATGAAACTTCAAATGCAATGGTTTGAAATTGACTTTAAAAAAAAACATTTTAAGATTGACTGCAGCTTGTCTGGGTTAATTTATAGAAGCAAAAGTTTCCTTTCTCTTTGACATAGTTACACCACAATAGGAATGTGAAGCAGTGAGCTGAGAAGCCTGAGGCTTGTTCAGATAGTGCTCAACTGTAGTTTACACTTATATCTCGATGAGACCGGAGTCAAAATCTGCATATATGTATTCTGAGTAGTACAAAAGTTGAGCCAGGCAAGTCTCATGAGTTCTGACCTTAACTCTTGCCTGGCTTGAGACCTTGCCTTAAACCTTGTCTCTTTTGAAAGGATACCCCATTAGAGATGCCCTAAGAGATAAACCCCCCCCACACACACACACACAGAGGATCAGTATTCATTCTGTCTGTTAAATGTTCATGTACTAGGAAGTTGACTTCAATTAAACAACTGCTTAAAAAACCTCAAATACCCATGTTATTTAATTCTAATGTAGTATGAGAGAATGATAAAAGAGAAACTCTACAAGTTCGAGGGGTGAGGTGTTTCTTATTTTGTTTCTTTTAGAGAGATTATCAAAGATGTCCTGAGGTGCTAATAAAGACAATTATATTGCACACTGAAAAGAACACTATAGGTACCTGATGTGTCGAAAGTGAGTCTCCATCTTTGAGGTTTCCAGCTTGTTAGACTCGGGGGGGGGGGCAGGGGGAATGAAAACAAGCAGCAATAGGCGTATGGATTCAGGCTGACATTATTTTCCTTTTAGCTGATATGATCGAGAAAAAGGTATGCCTCCAGTGGCGTGTACATGCACACACACACACACACACACACAGGAATTTATATCTAAAACACATTCGTCAGTTAGTTACACGTTCTGTTACCTGGTCCTCACTCAGTAAAATAATTCAAATCATTGTCCCTCCTAATGAAATCATATTGGTGAAAATGGGACCTGTAACAAAATGTTGCAGTGTCATTTTTATCTGTTTAGTGTGCCAGACAGCTTTACCAGCTCAATGAGCTGTGACCATGGTGTTGTTCACACACCACACAGGCATGCAGCTGTCTGTATATAAAAGTTGACATGGAGTCTGGATTCTTTAAAAACATGATCAGGTGTACTTCTGCTTTTGTCTCGTATCTATCCCTATATGTCCACTTGTCTACAGTGTTCTGCACATTAGGGTTTGAAAATAGTTCAAATAAAAATCCTGTGGGTCTGATTCTCCAGAGAACTAGCTCGCTGTTGGCTCAATAACTGAAGAAGACTTATATGTTCTTATTGCTCCCCAGTCTTAATAAATAGCTTTGAAGGCATAATGACAAGCTGTTTGCAGACATTCTTTCTAAAATCTGAGGTATTCTTAGTACTATATGAACACTGTGATAGATACCAATGGCCTATTGCAGAGGATTTTACTCTGTAACGTTAAGCACAGAGCGCAGCACCATGCAACATTCCAAGAAAGCTCAGACCCGGGAAGGTAATAGTAGTTTTCCTCTATGAAAACAAGAACCTTGTATGACAGCATGTCAGTTGGCCAGTTTTAATAGGCCTCTGCTTGAACAGGCTTTTCTTTATGGACCTGACTCATCAGGAACTGATTTAGGAATGCTTGTTCTTGAGTTCTTGTGCAACTGTATCCCACCCACTCCACAAAATCTGGTATCCAGCTGGTGTAAAATGGTCTTAATTAAACACAATTTCTATTTTTGAGGCTGTCCCTCTGGTCATGTGTATGTAAATAAGCTTAGGGAAAGTTTCTGCAGTAATCCTTTAGTTGAAATAGCTTGTGTTGTAGAATGACAGGTTTACTGCTAATCTTGTATAATTTCTCCTCTATAGGCGTTTAAATACTCTCAACAAATGTGCAGTGATGAAGCTGGAAATCAGTCCACACAGGAAATGGGTAGGTGCATTTGAAAGTTCTGCCGTAGTATCAGTAAAAATTGATGGGGATTAGTCTGGTAGATATTCTGACAAAGGAAAGTAATGTATGTTCCCTTGGGAAGTAAGCTTCATTGCTTTCAGTGTGTCAGTTTTAGTCTGATACAGACTTACAAAGGTGTGAGCCTTGATGGATGCAAAGGGACAAATATAGGATTACAATGTGATTTCTTTTTAATAGATAATTTATTCTTGGGCCAAAAAGAGGCATCTTAGATCAGACTGATGCTCTTTCAACATCCTTCGTTTAAGAGGCATATATAACAAAATTAAACTTACTTTTTTGAAACTTGCATAAATGGTGGTGCATATTTCTCAAGTTTCCATGAAATTCTTGAGATGGTAGTTTTCATCTTTATTCCAAACAGTTTGTTTTGACTGGTTCCAGAAGCCAGTCCTTTTGATACAAGTTAGTGTGAAACTTGGTTCTTTGCTGATTATGCATTTAATGACAGAAAATCTATGGGATATATCAGATATTTGCCATTTGTTCTGTCATTTCAGCAGTGATAGTGTCTTTCTAACATGATGCTGGACTCACTTTGAACAACTGCTTAAACTGGGCCCAGGAGAGAAATTGCCTTTTTGGTTTACAGCTTCCAAAATTCCCCAATCAGCAGGCGTTCCCATAATTTAAAAAAAAATTCCAGTCCTGCATGCCAACAATAAATACACATATACCTTCAAATTATTTATCTCTCAGTTAACATAAACCGATACTAGGTATAACTGTATGTCTCATATATGTAACATGTGAACAGCAAGAATAATTGACTGCCACCTAACCCTCTCTCAGTTGCCATGTAACAGGAGAAATAAAAAGGCCTAAGGACACAAATGAAATGTTTAGCTGAACATATTTTACTAAGAAGAAAATTTCACAACAGAGGCCACCCCATAAAGGCTCTCATCTCATATCTGACTTTCTAATCTCCACAAACTGTGGGTTGGGGCTTAGTTGATGATATGGATGCCACAGGGGTTGGGTGTCAACTTCATTATGTAGATCAAGTCAGCAGAAATGTTAGTTGTTAGTAGTGGTCGAGCATTAGTTTAATACACAAATCCTATTTGGGGGGGGAAATCTTTTCACAGCTATTTTTGTCTTGTTGAATTACATCCATCGATGACTAGGAGAACAACCTTATGCACACATAATTGGAAGTAAATGCTCCTGAACAAAATGGTGCTTATGGGTATCCAGGAATTCAGTTATGCCTACCAAGAAAAATCAAAATGGTTCAAGGCTCTTAGAGAGAACTGGGTGATTTTTCTCCCCTCTTCTTTTGAGACATTCGCCAATCAGACATCAAAGAATTACAGTTTGACTTTTGCTAAAGGCTGTGGCAAACCTGCCATTTATTTTACGTGCGTTGGATTATAAAGAATATTCCGTAACAGCTCACATTTATTGTCTGTGCTCTGAATTGACAGGCTGTGAGAGTGGCAGCCATTTATATTGGCCATTGTTGACTTGATCTGATCCACTGATCTGTTAATTGTCTAAAAGATCATTTTGGAAATATGTGCACAAGCTTTAGATGGAAGGTATTCATGACTTTTATTTAAATTACTGCTATTCCACTGAAATTCAATATTTTGTGGTTTATCAGTATGTTCGAGTGTTAAATTGTCAATATAAAATGTTGTTTTAGTTGCAGATATTAAATACCAGAAAGATATGATCAACCAATTGCCAGCTGGCAACTTCAGACCTTGCTTCTAAACAAATACATTTTTTCTTACTTGACAACTGATGGAAAAATACCTCATTCTTAATTGACAGTATCCTGTCGGATGCTTCTTCTCTTCCATATATTTTACAGTCCCTGGAGACCGCTTCAGACTGTGAGATCCTGGGTAGATAGCTAAAAGTAGGGTTGTTTCACCCTTCAGCTAGTAATGCAGGATTATTCACTCTGAAATAAGAAATTGCAAAGAATGTTGTGTGCCTGGTACATGTTACATTGTGCAATTCTCCTTTACAATGTTGATCTTTGGGCTTGATGACCTTGTTCCACCAACTGAACTTACTGACTAGCTTCAGCTGGTTACAGAACACTGAAGCCTTGAAGCCTCTCATAGTAATAGTTTAGGTAGTCATGCTAGTCTAATTTAGCATTCAGGCCAAAAAAAAAAAAAAGAAGAAGACAAAAACATTGTGACAAAAACTGACTGCTATATTTTAATATGAACTTTTGTGGACAAGTCCACTGTCTCTGGCATCTAAAGAAGACAGAAGAAAGCATTTTATGTTAATTTTTATTGTCCATGTACTGATACCTGAATTTGGGCAGCCTAAAATGTTTTCTCTTCCTATATTTTTGTTAATGTTAACAGTATCAGATTTTTCTCCTTGGTGAATTCTGTTTCACTAAAGAAAAGAACCATCCATTGTATGTCTTCGTTGCACATGGGGAAAGGAGGCTGGACAAGGCAGATATGCATCCAGCTGGAGGTTTACGAGGTGTTTAATATTGTTTTTCTTAATGATGAGAGACCCTTCCTGTAGTTTTCTAGTGGAATTCACTAGAATATGTAAATATGTAGAAATAGTTTCTTCCCACTCAAGACAAATTCATTCTAAAGCTGAAGATAATTGAATATTACTGAAGGGGGATAGGTAGGGTGTATCAAAACAATTGAAGATTTATCGCTTTTGATAATGCAGTGCTTTCCTATGTAAAAGGGAAGCAAGTCTGCTGTATTTGCAATGTTAATGACTTTGCTTTCCAGTGCTACTGGTTGAACCAGGTCTTCTTGTTGGAAGTGCATTGCCCACAGATAAAGGTGATCAGTGAAGAGACACCAGAGTTGTAACATTGACAGTTTACTTATGTGAGCTGCCATTTGACTTCAGCTTTTCAAAACCCATGAAGTCAAATATTTTGAAATGTCTTGTGTAAAGTGCTGCTCCAGTTGGCAAGCCTAGAAACAAAACTTGCATTACCAGATCAGTGGAATTTATTGGTGCTGGATTTAGGGTTTAATCCTATGCATGGTTACTCAGAAGTAAGTACCACTATGCTAAGAGGTGCTTACTCCCATGCTAATATGCACAGAATTGTAGCCTTATGTATGGTAATTTATCTAGGACCTTATAATGAATGTAGGCAACAACAAAAAATTCTTGGGACAATTACTTGGTTCCAAAACCCAGTCTAAGAATGCTATGATGCAGTTTTATACAGGATATTATAATGCGGTTATCAGGTCAAACTGCGTCTTTTTGCACCTCTAAAAATATTGTTGCAGCTGCCAGCTTCTTATATTTCTAGGCCAAATTCAAAGTGTTGGTTTTAAACTATGAAGATTTATAAGATTTATAAGATTTATATTCCAGTATATGGCAGAATACTTTTCCTGTCATTTACTTGTCCATTCCTTGAGATCATCATCTGAAGCCTTTTCTGGGAGAGGCTGAGATGTTTAGGACATCTTCTCATAGAGACCTGCTTGGCCCCAGCAATGTCATCTTTCCAGTGTCATATCAAGAAATTTCTCTGTTTCCAGGCATTTGATGAGATGTAACTGAAAGTACTGATTATCCCTGCAGTAATGATTGGCACAATTAATTATCCTTATAATTAATTTATTCTTTGGATGAGTTGTTGCTTTACGTTAAGCATTGTTTTAACAGTTTTGACTTTTTGTCTATTTTATCCTCTTCTTGTGCAGAGTGAAGATTCAGATGAGGATGAGCCTTGTGCAATAAGTGGCAAGTGGACATTCCAGAGGGACAGCAAGAGATGGTCCAGGCTTGAGGAGTTCCATGCTTTTCCTCCAAAACAAGATGTGAACTCCTCACCTCCCGAAGTGTCTTGTCTTAGCTCTGCAGCCAGTCATGAAAGCATGCTGACAGATCACAGTGATCACCCGGAAATAGTTTCCGTCCACAGCAGCAGCAGCAGCAGCAGTCATCCAGTTGCCTCCCAGAGTGAAGCAGCCACCACGAGGACCAATTCTGTCATTAGTGTGGGCTCATCCAGCAACCTTGTGACAAATGAGGACTCGTTCAGCAGTTTGCCCTCACCTAAAGAACTGTCAAACTTCAGTTTTGGTGGGAAAGCTAATGAGAAGAATGCCAAGTCCAAAACAAGAAGCCTATTAAAGAGGATGGAAAGCCTAAAATTAAAAGGCTCTCATCATGGTAAAAACAAAACCCCTTCCAAGCTTGGCCTCATAATCAGTGGTCCCGTCTTGCAAGAAGGAGTGGATAAAGAGAAATTAAAGCAACTTAACTGTGTGGAGATCTCCACCTTGAATGGCAATCACATCAATGTCCCAATGGTACGCAAAAGAAGCATCTCTAATTCCACCCAGACCAGCAGTAGCAGCAGCCAATCAGAGACAAGCAGTGCCGTCAGCACCCCAAGCCCTATTACACGGATGCGCAGCCTCAGTGCCTACAGTAAAAGAGTAGGGATGTACTTGGAAGGCTTTGATCCTTTCAACCAATCAACATTCAGTGATGTCATGGAGCAGAACTTTAAAAATCGGGAGAGCTTTGCAGAAGACACGGTCTTCTTCATTCCAGAAGACCACAAGCCTGGAACTTTTCCCAAAGCTCTCTCCAATGGTAATTTTGTTCCATCAGAGAACAGTACTTCTGTGAACTGGAGAACAGGGAGTTTCCATGGGCGTAGCCATCTCACTCTCAAGAGGGAGAACAGTTCTGACAGCTCCAAGGAACTGAGCATTGGGAAGAGACGCAATTCCTCCAGCTCTGTATGCAGCCGGCTCAGCATTTACGACAATGTGCCAGGCTCTATCCTCTATTCCAGCACAGGTGATCTGGCTGACCTGGAGAATGAAGACCTCTTCCCTGAGCTTGATGACATTCTGTACCATGTCAAAGGCATGCAGAAAATTGTGAACCAATGGTCAGAGAAATTTTCGGACGAAGGGGACTCTGACTCTGCCCTAGACTCTGTTTCTCCATGCCCTTCATCTCCCAAGCAGATCCTCCTTGATGTGGACAATGATAGGACAACAGCTAGTGATCTGGACAGTACAGGAAATTCACTGAATGATACAGAAGAGCCCACAGGGATCCAGGAGAGAAGAGACTCTGGAGTTGGTGCTTCATTGACACGCTCCAACAGGTAAGTGAATCCATCTGATGTAACTGGGCAATGAGGTACTCTGCAACACTTAGTGTGCCTGTTTTATATCTAACAGAGAATGGATGAGAAAAGCTGCTTGGTTTTTATTTGTACAATAGGACCCTCTGTATCTGTGGGATCAGTATCCACAGTTTCACTTATCCACATCTGAAAATATTAAAAATATTAAAAGAAAAAAACTGTTTTCACATGTGTTACCCTAACAGGCCACAGATGGAGCCAGGGACTGTGCTATCGATATTTATTAGTGAAGAATACATAGCATGGATGTATTCTTATGGCTAGTTTTGGTAATGTGTGTGAAAATATTTTTTCTTGGTTGCTATTATCCAGTTTTCAGTATTCGCGAAGGTTGATGGAACCAATCCCCTCTTATGGCTAGTTTTGGTAATGCGTGTGAAAATATTTTTATATAGGTTGCTATTATCCAGTATTCCGTATTCGCGAAGGTTGATGGAACCAATCCCCAGTGGATATGGAGGTCCTACTGTTATAACTGTTTAAACTCACACACACAAAAACTCCACCCCAGTAATAATCAGATAACCCAAAAAAGGCCACCAAGACAAAAGTGGCAGTAAAAATATGGCAGTAAAAATATGGTAGAAAAGACATTATGAATATATAAAATCAGCAGTATGAACAACATTCATTTAGGAGGTATAGTGCTATCCCACATAGTGCCTAGAGCTGGTTTGTGTTTGTAAATCATATTAAGAATTGAGTTGCAACCTTTGGATGAGTTATTGTTTTAATCAGGATTCTTCTTTGTGAACATATCTAATGTGAAGTTCAGTATACCACAAATCTAAATGGTGTTCATCTTTCTTGTGAGCAGGTCAAACTGGAGTGGCCCAAGTCACTTATCTTTCTCCTGCTTTGTTTGTATTGTTTTGTTGTGAAAGTTCGTGAATCTCTTCACAAATAGCTCTCTTGGCTGGCAGATTATATGTATTGTAAACAAAAAAAAGTAACTTTTCCAAGTTCTGAACATTTGATCTAGACATGTGGATCCTTTTCTTAGATCCTTATGTTGTGTCTAATTGGTCAAACTTGTAATCTTAGTAGCTTAGTTTATCTTTACTCACAACTCAGATGGATGTTTTCTAAAAAGCTTTGAAGATCTTTAGCAATACAATCTGAGCACAGTGAACTCAGGCAGAGTTAGCCATGTAATATGCTGTCAATCTGGCTGTTAACTGACTCTGTACAAGTACTACAGAAGTTCTTAAAGTCTTTTCTGTTAATATCATCAAGATCTAAGATCTTGAAGTGATATGTTAATCACTCCTTATGCAATGCTGCTGTGTAGTACTTTTCCAGTTCATTGCTTTAGCTTTCCACTTACTTTGACCTGTCTGTACTGTTAAATGTCTATTGACTTTTTCACTCTCTCCAAAAGGCACAGAATGAGGTGGCACAGCTTTCAGAGCTCCCATCGGCCCAGCATCAGCTCAGCATCCTTGCAGATTGACTGTCAGTCTGTAGCACAGATGAATCTGCTGCAGAAGTATTCACTCTTGAAGTTAACTGCACTCCTGGAGAAATACACCCCTTCCAATAAACATGGCTTCAGCTGGTAAGGGACTATGGACATAAATTGCAGAGATCTGACTGGTCAGAATTTGTAAAGATTAAAGTTCCTTTCTACTTGCCGGCCAAAAACCAACTGTCTGTGAATGGCTCAAGGACTCAGGCTTTGACTATCTGAAAGGAACCAGGTATTTGCAGCTGAGGGACAGCAGAAAGGAAGAGCTTGGATCCAGGTAGACTGATGATTACCCCATTCCTCATGGCACCCGATCCAATCCCCCCAAATGCTGCAGAATTGCTTGATGGAATCTGCTGAATGGAGTAAATGCTGCACGTTTCTCGACTGAACTTGATGATGGATAGTGGTGTGCAAGTAGGCCCCTTGAATCAATGGCAATTTGATAAGTCATCTCCACTATAAGTCCCATTGATTCAAATGGGCCTATTTTGATGAGTCTTAATTTTACATAGTAAATCACTGTGAGACTAGGTCCATTTGAATTAATGAAACCTATGGTGGGGTAAACTCATTAGATCTCCATTTATGCAATGGTCCTATTCTATTGTGATTTACTACACTAAGCAACAGGATTTTGGAAGTTGTGTAGGTACTGTGTCCTATTAGATAAATGTTACTGAAAACCTTTTATTGTCCAATTAATAAACATTTCTGTTGATAAAAGATTGTAAGGGAGCCAAAAGTACAATATAAATTGGTGGGGATTCTATTCTATCAGAATTTCATAATTTGACCTAGTCCATTCCTTCCGTTCTGTGGAACTTGGAGAGAGTATTTTAAGTCCAGCGTGAAAGCTCTTCCTGTTCAGAGGCTGTTATTATGGGTGCTGTGCTAAACAGAGAAGTTGTTTGTTCTGAAAGACAGAAATAAGTACTGGCCATGTTGTGTTTGCATGCTTCAGATTCTCAGTGGACATCGTAAGACGCGCATGTGTGCATTTAGCTTTACATTCTAGAACTGCGTGCTTTAACGAAATGAGAACTGTACAAATTTTGATTCCCATAATACTCTGTGTTATGCTGTGTGGTGATACAAATAAAGTGGGACAGTTGTGTGGCAGATGAGTTGACCATAAAGCCGAAATGCTGGTTATATAGCTATAATGTTAGTTTAGAATTCACTGGATTGTATCATTCCCAGTTTTAGAGTGCCACATTCATATATGCTTCACATACTAATCCACTTCTTTGTCCAGCTTCACTTTAACAATTCTAAAAACAATTTTACTGAGTGAAAAAGGAGGGTTTTAGAATTTTTCCCCCTGCTAGCCAAAGCCACATAGAAAAGCCTTTTACCAAAGCGGGTGGCTGAAGTGGTAGAGAAGGAAAATGCAGGGGGGGGGCTGAGAAGGTCACTTGTTGAACTGAGACTTGTTGCTAGCAAACACCAATGTATTACATCAGTTTCCTGCTGTGACACAAGCTGCTGGGTGGTGGGACGGGTCTGAGGGCTTTTTAAAGCCAGTGGTTAACATACAAAAAGCTCATTGTTCACATGTCTGTCTTTCCCCCAGAGTCCTAAAGAAGCAAGATTATAAAGGGTCATTGACTGCTAGATTTGTGTTTGACTCTTACAGGTTTTGACATGGCCACCCTGATTCTGCCCTGTGACTTTTGGTCTGGCAGATTTTAGTATACAAAATTAGCAAACTGAAAAGACCTTCTAATTAATTGATATAATATGTGAATCAGTTCTCTAGCTGCATATTAAGCATGTATTGTTGTGACCAACTTAATTACTTTGACATGGCCATCCTCAAGAATTCACCACTTACTGTATAAGATAGTTCTATATAACAGGGTGTTAGTGGTAGGACTGTATTTTGGGAGGGGACAGCCCACTGAAAGATAGTTTTCCCAATCTCAAATGAGTAAAGAATTGATTCAAGAGAGAGATTAGTTTAACTACATCTCATTATTACTATTGCCAGTGTTTGTAATGAAAATTGGTTAGGAAGGATTTCCTACAGTATTTTGATTCAAGAGTTAAAGGCAAGACCAGGTCAGCTGGGAAGGAAAAAAAAAGATTTGGTTAAAATGCAGTGACTAATCAGCTAACAGTTTTTAGAATTTGATGACAGCACTAGTACAAAAAATTCTAAAATCTGTTCATGGCTCTTCTCCCTAGGAGTATACTCTTTTTAAAGAGATTTTTCTGATGGCTTTTTCCTAACTTTGTGGAATGCTATGAATGCAGGTTTTCCATACTGCTATTCTCAGTCAAGTGAGATCTTTTCTGGCACACTTCTTACTTCATAGCCCACAGATGGAAATAGAAAGGTGCAGTGTGTATTTGAGTGCATGCATATAAAATAGGCTTGAAACTTTTAAAATCTTTATCACCTTATTTATGTTCCTCTGCAGGGCTGTACCAAAGTTTATGAAAAGGATAAAAGTCCCAGATTATAAAGACCGAAATGTGTTTGGCGTTCCCCTAACAGTTAATGTCCAACGTACAGGACAACCTCTCCCTCAGAGCATTCAACAAGCTATGAGATACCTTCGCAACCACTGCCTGGATCAAGTGAGTTTTCTTGTAGTGCTATCTTCCATGATCCCCAAAGTTTGCTTTCATAATTGTTCTCTGTTGCTTTTCCTTAGTAGTTTCCTCTTGAGAACTGTGTGGCTAATTAAAGTGGTACACCTCAAATGGAATTGTAATCAACACACTTAAAATAATGTCAGCAGCTGTCAACCTCTCCACCCTTCTTCCCATATCACGTTTATCGGGGGGGAGGAATGTGGTACTGTTCCAGGTGGGGAACAAGAAGAAGTAGAGGGAGGGGTCACATATTTGAATGTTCTTCCATATATGAATAAACTGCCTACACTCACAGAAATCAAAGACATCAAGGAGAAGCTGGTCCAAAACGATCCTCCCTGATTCTTCCAGTCTCTGTGGAAAGGCTTACCATATCCTAGTTCTTAATAGAACCAGATGTTGTATTTAATTCAGTGCCATCTTGAAACTTGGATTTCAAAATATCCTTTTTAATTGTAAACAAAACACCAGTAACAGATCTCTGTTCAGTCTTATGGGCGAAGTGTTCCAAATGTGTCTCCCAGCATCCTTGAGGCTCCCAACACCAGATTTTTTAAAAAATGCCTCAGAATGTTCCCTTGTGTCTTTGAGGGAGCTTGAGAGGCCATTTTGCTGACACCTACAGGACCAATTGCCTGCACCACACTTTCTATATATAATTTTTGGCCACTAGAAGTACGAAAGGGCTTTTTCAAAAAGTCTTCCTTAAGGAAAATAAAAATATTTGACTAGGGGCCATGGAACTAGTCTGGGAAAGTTGCCTGCCCTAGTGTAATGTGTACATCAATCTTTTATTGTATAGGTTGGTCTTTTCCGAAAATCTGGTGTAAAATCAAGAATCCAGGCATTACGACAGATGAACGAGAGCTCCACAGGCAAAGTCAACTATGAAGGGCAGTCTGCTTATGATGTGGCCGACATGCTGAAGCAATATTTTCGCTATCTGCCAGAACCACTCATGACCAACAAACTTTCAGAGACTTTCTTACAGATCTACCAGTGTAAGTCTGTAGTTTTATTTTTGGCCGATCTCACTATGTTTCTTTAGAGTACACTGTTTCTTAAAGACTGAGACTAGAGTTGCACTAGAGTAGGGCCTTGAATCAGTGGTGATTTGTTGAGGTAACCTCTCCATAGTTTTGTCCTGTCCTTCCAAGCCTTTATAAGAAGCAACTCCAAATTTACCAGTGAAAGTATCTGTGTCCTCTTGAACATGGAAACAAAATTATGGTATGTTGGTGTAGATCAGTGATGACTTTCCCCTCCCTTCTCAAATGCATCACTGTCTCCTGAAGCCCTCTTTTCTGCTTATTCAAGCCCCGTCTGGATATTTTGTGGTGCCAAATTCGGGAATGATTTAGGGAGTATTTATTTAATTGCCTTCCCACCCCCCACTGAGGAATGTGTTTTTACTGAGGTGTACGGATTTTTGTTAGAGTCCAGATTAGCAGAGCTTAGTGTCTGCATATTCATTGCCACCCATGTTCATAAAAATGAAGGAGCCCTAATCTAATTTAACAGGCCTTTTAGCAGATCTGCAGAAGTGTGGGGCTCTCAAACTTAAAATCTAAATTTAACTCGGGAATATGCAGAGCTTTGTTTTACTGTTGAGTCTCTTGCAAGGCAGGAAATACCTGAGGGCAGTTAAGCTGTTGACCAAAAAGGAAAAAAAAAGTGTTCATTTGCCATGAATGGTATGCAGCACACTGAAGGAAATGGTTGTAGACTGAAGTCAAAAATAGTTGAAGCTGGCGTTTGTTTTGGGATGCATTCATGCTATATGTGTGGAAAATCAATGAGCTGATGAGAGGAGTGCTAATCTTGTGCAGATGTGCCAAAGGACCAGCGTCTCCAGGCGATCAAGGCTGCCATTATGCTTCTCCCGGATGAGAACAGAGAAGTCCTACAGATTCTCCTATATTTTCTGAGTGACGTCACGGCTGCTGTGAAGGAAAACCAGATGACGCCAACCAACCTAGCTGTGTGCTTAGCGCCTTCTCTTTTCCACCTAAACACCCTCAAGAGGGAAAATTCTTCTCCAAGGCAAGTCTGATCCCAGAGCCCTTTCCTGTTATGTGTGTAAAGAAATCTTTCTTTTTAATGCTTTGAAATCTGTCTTTGCTCTCCCCCAGTGCTGCCACTTTTTCAACAGCATTCTCAGCTTTGGCTAAGCCATTTCTGGTGGACATTGCCATTGAGTAATAAAAGCCTAGCAGTTAGAACTGCAACAACCTTTCACACAAGCAGACAGTCACTTGACATGTACAAAAGCCTTGATTCATCTAACATTGCCTAATTGATGAATGAGAGGGTTGAAAATGAAAGTGCAGGGTCCAGTGTGTCACCAACATTTTTGTAGGGCTTCTCCATACGCGAGAGTACCTTGGCTTTGCAATACAATATAATTGACATTTTCCACCCATTAATTCATCTTACATATTAACAGGGTAATGCAGAGGAAACAGAGTCTTGGAAAACCTGATCAGAAAGATTTAAATGAGAATTTGGCTGCAACACAAGGCCTGGGCCACATGATCGCTGAGTGTAAGAAGCTGTTTCAGGTGAATATTCCACTGTAAAATTCTGTCTAAAGCCATTTTATTAATACCCTGCATTTGATTCTAAGCCTTGTTCTTCAGCTCACTGTTCTAAGTTTGGTAGCTAATTGTGCTGGTAGCCACTTTCAAAAGAGTTTGAAGGGGCAGAGTCAAACCTGCCATTAGGCAGAATGAGGTGCAGTTTTCTCTAGGGATGGAGGGGACGGCAGTCCTATGGCTATTCCTACTTGTTGGAAAACAGAGCCATCTGTTCCATGTGGTCTTGTCTGCACCTCCAAAGCTGCCCTGCTGCCCTTGGGTGAAATGGCAGAGGAAGTCCTTGAGCAATTTTTAAAGAAGATTGAACTGTTTCTTTAGTCTGGTTTCACTGCAGGCAGCAAAGTGTATTCGGACAGCTTATATATCTTGACAGCTTTGCACCTTTAGAATGGCAGCTGGGAAACTAGATGGTGCTCCTCAGCTCCTGTTCCAAACATCACATGGCAGTGTTTATAGTCTCCATTGGCACACCGGAAATGTTACAAAATGTTGAGCATAATCATGTCTACAGTTGTGAAATCTCCTCTTTTTTCCCTTGTGTCTCCCCATCCCGGATTCTTAGATCCCTGAAGAAATGAGTAGGTGTCGGAATTCTTATACAGAGCAAGACCTTCGGCCTCTGAGCCTGGAGGAGCTGGGACGGACTCGTAAATCAGAGCCTGCGGACTACCGTTCTTACATCCAGGATTGCATGGATGACTTGCTGAAGGAGATCAAGGATAAATTTAAAGGCTGGGTCAGCTGTTCCACCTCAGAGCAAGCTGAGCTGGCTTGCAAGAAGGTACCTTGACACAATCCCAAAACTATTGCTGTTGTCTTTCAATATTTTTCTTGTATCACTTATAACATACCTTATAGGGAAAAGGAAACAGTATCTGCACTCAACAATCACCTTTTTGAACAGGCTAGGATAACATGGTTGCTTTATGTATGGAAGAATTATTAGTTCTAAATAATATTCACATTCACTAAAGCTTCTTCCAAAAGTTAGAAAGTTGTGCTGAAGTCATTCAAAAGACAGTGTGGAATGCTTGTCTTTTTCCAGCACAGAAGATTCAAGGCAATTCAAGGCTAATTCACACTTTTTTCCTGAATGCCCATGTAATCAGAAGCTTTCAGCTGAATGTAGCACTAATCTGTTCCAATAACTGAAACAGGTACTCAGAAAGGAATATTTCTAGTATGGTTTCAGCATGACCACCACTGCCCTTTTGCTTACCTTCCTAATAAAAATTTTTGACAGCAGCTATTGAAAAAGAGGAAGCTGCAGCAAAGGAGAAGTTGTCAAATTGGATAACTATGACAGTCACACAAGAGCTTCTGCCCATATGGAGGTTCATTCATAATTCCCTGTATAAATAAGTTCACAGATTATAGAGAGGACCCATTATTATGACAACCTTTTGCCAAAAACAGTGCTATGAAAATAATCTTTTTCAAGTGCTTTTCAAAAACTATAACTTGTTTCTATTATTTCATGCATTGTTTTCTTTAGACCTTCTGTGAGAAACAGATGTTTTCACAGTATATATATCTGTCAACATGACACATGCATTTAGTTGACACCTTTTGTCTTGTTTCCATATCATAAATGAAAGAAGAGTTGAGGGTGGTTGATGCACATGCTCACTGTCCAGATATTTTTGCACTCCTACAATTCCATAACATTGACACTGCAGAATATAGCTTCAGGAAGACAAATTCCAAAATATCTGGAGGGTCAAAAGTTCCCCAACCTTGACTCATGCTTATCAAAGATACCTAAATTATGATTTGTGGTCGCTATTGTATTATCAGCCACCCCATCTTATTTGCAGAGAGAATTACAGTTAGTGTCAAGGATGCATCTCCCCCTTTCTAAACAAGGGCATTATTGGAATTATGAATGCTACCAACCTTGCCAACCTGTGATTTCACCATTATATTGGGGTAGACCATGGATAGATCAGTAGCTAGATCATAGTTCAACTTTGAATGCAATCTTTGAAGATTCATAAGGTTAGAGGACTGCTAAATCAAGGTGGTTAACCACGCAAGGATATAACTTAGATCTTCATGTTTTCAAGGTTTGTGATGGCCCACCTCTCCGGTTGTGGAAATCCACTATTGAAATTCCTGCAACCCCTGAAGAAGTGCTAAACCGCATACTGAAAGAACAGAATCTTTGGGATGAAGATCTTTTAGATGCAAAAGTCATTGAGACTTTGGACAGCCAGACTGATGTGTACCAATATGTGCAAAACAGTGTGGCACCTCACCCAGCTAGAGACTATGTTATCCTAAGGTAAATGTGCAGATTTCACCTGCATTAGAATTTGTGGAGAAAATATGCCATGCTTTTCATAATGTAGCAATTGAAAACAATTGCAGAGGTATATTGACTCATCTTTTTCTTTAATATTTATAACTTTTCCTGTCTGGTTTGATATCTACATCTAGGCAATTTCTTGCTATTTAATTATTATTCCATTTATGTAAAAACATACCATATATATATCACTTTTCTCCCTTTCAAGATTCCTAAAGTGATTTTTGTGTTATAATATTTGTTTTCAACAGGACATGGAGGACAAATTTATCCAAGGGAGCTTGTGCAGTTTTAAGCTCTTCGGTCGACCATGAACGTGCTCCAGTCCTTGGTGTTCGAGTGAATGTGCTGATGTCCCGATATCTCATTGAGCCCTGTGGATCAGGAAAATCCAAACTCACCTATATATGCAGAATTGATTTAAGGTAAATATGTTCAGATTTATTCTTTTGTCACTGTGAGTGTGTGCTTGTTCACAAGTCACACATTTGTGAAATGGTGATTTGCGGTACAGCCCAGGAACAGCAATGCTATCCTTCCCTCCTGTAGCAGAATTATCCTCCCGTCTGCTCTGGAAAGAGAGTGATGCATGATGATTGATCTGCGCCTGTGTGTTTTTATTTAGAGGTACACAAACTCTGCTACTCATGGCTCTTGAACGACCCCCCTTCATATGCCACAGAAAAGATGCAGAGTCTGTCTGCATGAGGACAAAGTGTGGGAAATGCTATGAGTTTGGGGTGGGTTGATTCGCATTTTTTCCCCGTTGATCACATGATGCAAGAGAAAATGTGAATCAGCCTGGAATCCCACACCCCCACTTCATTGTTTTAGCTCCCCAACAGAGACCCTTCTACTTCTAAAAAATGTAATCCATTCACTTTCACAGAGCACCTTCCTCCTTGCCTCTTGAACCATGTGTTTACTTATACACATACACACACACACTTACACACATCTTGCCTGTTTCCCAATACACATTCCTTCCTTCCTTCCTTCCTTTCCTTCCTTCCTTCCTTCCTTCCTTCCTTCCTTCCTTCCTTCCTTCCTTCCTTCCTTCCTTCCTTCTCTGTTTGCCTCCACGAGCAACAATACTGGGGCTTCTTCTTTTTGTATGGTATGTTAAGAAAAGGAGCTTGTTCCCACAGGTGAGAGTTTCTTTTTAAACAGCTAACCAGATAACTACACACAGAAATTGAAGTAGCAAGCCTTTTTATCATTTGTAAGGCAGTTCATTGTAATGGCACCACCTACAGGGCTATATGCAAAATTGCAAGCAAACCACAAAAAAGAAGCTCTCTCCTGTTTTTCACACAGACTCTAAATTCCTTGGTGCAACTACACAGTGAGTGAATGTAAGCGGATTTGCATTGCTATTGTTGTGTAGTTGCACCCTCAGTGCAAATGGGCAAAATTATCATGGGTTTTTAGAAATCTGCTTTAATTTCCACTGTCCTCATTCCAGCTCATGATCAAGATCCGTTATGTCCTGTTGAATTCTGGTTGCTCCCAATTTGCACTACCATGTTACCTACAATTTTTCTGGATAATTTTATGAATGCATACCTGTGCATCATTATCACACTTGAACTTTTGAAACACTGCCAAAACAAAAATCTGATTCTTAAGTGAGATGTCTGTCCCACCCACCCTCCAGCTGAATGCTTCTTTTAAGAATTTCAGTTTGATTTCTGTGTTGACTTGTTTTGGTGTTTGTTTGTTTCTCCATCCTCCAAATGAAAACAATTGTTACCAGCTTTGGTAATGTCTTTTCTTTTCTTTAAAACAGAGGACACAAGCCTGACTGGTACACGAAGGCTTTTGGACACTTATGCGCAGCTGAAGTTGTTAAGATCAGAGACTCTTTCATTAACCAGAATCTTGCGGTTAAAGAAGCAAAATCAAGGTGACAACAGTGGACACTGATATTTTCAGGAATGGTTGAAAGCCAGTGGAATGGGTTGCAGTGTGGCTATTAAGTTTCATTCTGAAGAAGTGGTGCCTGGAATGGGTTTGAGATGCTCACTCAAGAGTCTGTGGCCATACCATTCCTTTTAAAGCTGCTTCCTGTCAGCCTTAGGCCTATAATGTAGGCCTTGACTGGAATATATTGGATGGTGCAACATTTGGGGGGGGAGGGGAAAAGTAATATTATATACTATATATTGCTTAGATGGCGTGAATTGCTTCTGAGAAGCAAAACTTTGAGACTTAAATATATTGCTGGAATACAGTGAAAATAATTAATTCCTATATGTTAGTTTTATGTATGGATTTGTATGCCATTTGTCGATGGGCTGCTTGATCCACTGGATTCACTGGCAACTTTTCAATGGGTTCTTGCTAAAGTAAGTGAAAGAAGGTTTGCACAGAGGCAGAGGCACGAATTGTTGAACAGAGAGTCATAGAAACCATATCATTGGAGTGTCTGGTACACTTAAAAGCAAGGGGAGAGATATTAAAGGTTGAAGGAGGGGTTGTCGTACAATTGTTTGTCTGTCCAATAGACCACCGCAAGCTTCATTTTTAACTTCTGTATTCCTTGTGTTGTTGAAAGAAAAGAGAAAGAGAGAGGAATGGAGGCTACCTCAGGCATGTCAAGGAGAGGGAAAAGCAAAACACCTGAAGCTGATGCCAGTTAATCACTTTATTGAAGTGATTTCTTAAAATGTCCAATGCATTCCAAGCTACATTTCTGCCATGGGTTTATTTCTGTATGTATTAAGATTGAAACTTCCCAGCTTTTCTCACATTAGTAGAGGGACCTGAATTTGCTGAAGAATTTATTCTAAAGCCAGACACTGCCCCCACTGGGAGCTTCAAGACTAGTGCTTTCAGGTGAATTTTCACAATATGCACTTGGTTTTTTTTAACGTTGGTTCCCTATCAGTTGATTTGGCAGGTCCTTTTGAAAGATTTTCCTCTAATTTTGAAAGACTTTTCTCTAATTTGTCCTTTGACTTATGTGCATTTAAAATTAGAGAATCAGTATAGGTGCAAATATAAGGGACGTGGTGGCACTGCAGGTTAAACCGCTGAAGCCTCTATGCTGCAAGGTCAGAAGACCTGCAGTCATAAGATCGAATCCACGCAATGGAAGGGAGCCCCCGTCGCTTGTCCCAGCTCCTGCCAACCTAGCGGTTTGAAAGCATGCAAAATGCAAAAATGCGAGTAGATAAATAGGTACCACCTCGGTGGGAAGGTAAACGGTGTTCCATGTCTAGTCACGCTGGTCACATGACCACGGAGGATTGTCTGCGGACAAACACTAGCTCTATGGGTTGGAAACGGAGATGAGCACTGCCGCCTAGAGTCAGACACGACTGGACAAAATTGTCAAGGGGAACCTTTACCTTTTTTTATAGGTGCAAATACAATATTGCATGGGGAAAATTTACTTTGGCAAATGACTGCTGCCATAGCACACCAATTTCATGTGATTTTGGAAAATAAACACCATCAGATGTAGTTAGTACTTAGATGGGAAACCATCGGGGGTACTAGAGACCTTCAGATGCAGTTAGGGGGAAAATCCAGCCTGAACCCGCAGAGAGATACTGTCCACCAGAATTGGCAGTGCTGTACTAGGCTAGATGACTAAAGCATCTGACTCAGGATAAGGCAGCTTGCCATGGTCACATGAAATCTTCGGTTTGGAGAATGGGTTGGCAAAATGAAAAATTTTACAGCCATGGTGACCTCTCTAGTTTCCCCATGAGTTCAGTGTGAAACGTGTTATGCCCTGCTAAACCTTTACAGTTTAAAAACTTTTTGGATGTGCATTTCAGATATGGAATGTGTGTGCCATGGTGACACTCAGACTTCTTGTTCTCAAACAGAGAGTACCTCAGAATGGTAGGCCTTGTAAAAGATAATGCATGTTGAGCAATATTAAGTAGTAGTCATTTTGTGCTTGAGGTTGGCATCTGTCTTTGCCCCCTCTTACATATAATCACCATTTATGATGAAAGAAGCTGCAAAGGTGCAAGCAGGAGTCTTTTAACAGTCCTCTTTCTGAATTCCTTCATAGGAATAATCAGAAAGCTTGCACCATGAAAATAAATATGAAACTGCTTTCAGTAGCTTGGGCAGCCCTGGAATATGTCATAACTGGAGCATTTTGAAGTTCTAAAGCACTTCGGTGTAACAGATACTGTTGGGAGTACAAAGTACTGTACTGTAATTCATATATTCTACTCCACTGTACTACACAACCATGGTTTGGGCTAAAATTTCCACACCTTTCAGAGATTCTGAAGTCTGGTTAAGAAAAGAGTGCAGTTTCCATCAGGTTATGTGGCACAATGTGAAGGTCTACAATTTACGATAAACAGGAGATTCAAATGATTGGGCAATCTATTGTAGAAGTCAATAGGACTGAGACAAAAAAAACAGACCAGTACACTCAAATATTTCCTTGGGCAATCAGGGCAACAATAATAAATGAATGATGATATTTGGGCAGACTGTGGAATTGTGGTAGTATTCTAAAAGCTATAGATTACCTGTCAACTGCTTCCAGGAAAAAATATATATTCATATTGTTAATTCAAGATATGTGCATTTAACACAACTTTTGCAGTGCATCATGCAGTGTGTAGTGGTAAGGAGGTTATTTGTGGAGTGGAATGAACAGGACAATTGGTGATACACATTTTGTTGTAGAAGGACAAACCACAGTAGAACAAAAGGAGGATGATAGGCAGCCAACTTCATCCTTCCTCTGTTACAAGCCTTACATTAATATTTTTCCCTCGTCGGGGGTACCTACCTGCTTACTTTTTATGGTATACCATGTAACTATAGCACATGCTTTTAAAATAACAGTTGCAACTCAATGGTGAACATATATCCAAAAGCAGGACTTTAGCCCTTGCTATGAATCTTGCATCCCCCTCCCCTACTCCTTTGTAAGGCTTGTGCTTTGGTGTAGAGATGCAGCACTAGCATAGAGATGCACTGAACAAGTGTGAGTCAAGGTGTGAATGTAAAATGGATGGCAGTCTGCTTGTATGTTGATATGAAGCAAATAACTTCATACATCCTTCTTGGGCCTATTAGGTTTCCCCATGACAGGACTCCATCCCCTGAATTCAGACTTGTAGCCTCCCTACCCTTCATGCTGAGATTTGTCTTGCCCCAAAGACAGTGTGCAAAGCTGGACAGCTGATTCCATCTGGCTCAGTCTCATTGGAAAGGGACTGGGTGATGTCACTGTTTCTGCTTTTCCTCCATCCCAGGGCAGTGGCATGAATGGAATCAGCCCTTTGTTACCATTTTCAGTATTATTTAAACATAATAGTAATTAAAAAAAAATTATGATGAAGAATTGTGGTGTTTGAATAGATTGTGTAGAATTTCTAGCAATAGTCAGTGTCAGCATCATCATCCCTCTCCTAATTTTATTACATTGTGTTGTGGACCATTTATTTGTTCCTCTTTGTTCACGCTCTCTTCGTTGCATATGCAACAAACTCACAAAAATCAGTTTAGGATTGACAAGAAGAAATATATACAGTTAAGGGACCAGGGCTTGAAATTAGGACTACAGAACTCCCAAGCCAGCATGGGGCTTGTAGTCCAAAGAAGAAGAAGTAGAATATACCTGAGTTCTGTACATACAGTATGACAGGCTAGGAGCCAGCATGGGGCTTGTAGTCCAAAAAAGAAGTAGAATATACCCGAGTTCTGTACATACAGTATGACAGGCTAGGACCCTTCATTGTACATTGATCTGCTTGCACTGTTTCCATTAAGAAGCTTTCTGGGGTTGCATTCCTCGTGATGTCAGTCCAGAAGTCATGAAGAATAAATGGTCATGAAGAAGAATAGAGATGTTAGATCATCTCATCAGAGACTAACGTCTCTTTAACAAACTCAGAAATAATAGCTTTCTAAGGGACATTACCTAGGATCAGGTCTACCCTAGCATCAACTATTTCCGTTTTGTCCTGGAGAGCAGAAGAACGTCCTGAATCCCTTTCTTAGCCTACAAACATTTACTTAGAGGAGTAAATCCATTTTGGTAGTTCTGAAACTACCGGGTAGTTATGTTAATTGTGTTGCACCATTAGTGTTTCTCATCAGTAGGGAAGCTTTGTGTATTCTTTGTATACTTCTTACATGTTTAAATATGTAAAAAAAAGAGGTATGTTGTACATACTATCTTGGTGTAAACGTGTATACTTGTTCACACTTTATTGTCCACATAGATAAAGCATGAAAGTAATTATTTAAAATATACTTGTATTTATACCTCAGATATTCTTTGGGGGACAGGATATTTGTACCTCATGTTGTCTGTCTTCCCCTGTCCTATGTAAATATGTTCTACACATTTAAGGTCTAAGGAAAAGAAGGAAAGATTTATAACTTGCTGTTGTATGTCTGTACAGAATGTAATCAATAAATGCACTATTAAATGTTTAAATTGGTGAGATATCTGAATTCTTCTCAATTTTATTATGGCCTGTGTTTTCCGAACGTCCTCCTGAAGTTTCAGCCATGGGCCTGACCTTTAATCCAGGGACCAAATCTCTTCTACCATCCACGTCCCGGAACGCACTTGCATCGTGACGATTGGTTCTGACTCCACTGTGGAGGAGCCAAGAGTCTATTCCAGCTCTTGCAGCCTTACCCCATGGCAGCCTGGGTTCTTCCACCACCTGAGGTAGGAGAGGAAATGCCCCCCTTCTTTTTTTCCACCAGGGCTGCCTCCTAATTCTTCCTCTTGCCTCCCAACCATACTGTCCCCCTCCATTTCAAATAATGGACACACACACACACAGCTTCTCTCCTTAACCCCTCCCACCAGAAGCACCATCTAATGCATGCATGTCTACTTTTTAATCTGCCCTGGAGTGAGAAGATAGCAAACATGTCAAGTAGGCAGGTCATTTCTCGATGGGGCCAGCACATTTCAGCCTCAAGGTGTAATGCACAAAACAAATTGGCCACATTGTCCAGCCAGCCCTGTTTGCCACCAAGCATAGGCAAGGAAGGGGACAGAGAGGGAGGTGAAGAAACAGAGAGAGAGGATAAGCGGCTCTATTTGCTGTTCTTTGTTGCCTGAAATGACTACCTCCATAATGGGGCCACTCCCTTTCAGTCAGGTTCATTAGAGTGCTTTCATGGCCCATCAGAAGATCTGCTCACTTGCCCACAGGCAACTGAGGTGGCATGGAGAAAGGATAGGGCTTTTTTGCCAGTGCTCCCAGCACCATTAGAGCCATTAGGCTTCATTGGGTTTGTTAGGGTTTGTTTGTTTGTTTAAAGTGTTTTGGAAAGTCTTTGCCTGCCTTTTTTGTTTGTTTCAGCGCTCCTGTTTTTTATTGTCTGCACAGAATTGGTATTTTCAGTGATTTCATACACCTTTCAAAATGTCCTAAAATAATGTTATATTTACAAACTATTTGAAAATGCAGTTTATTTCTAACCAATTATGCTGAAGTGTTCAGAGGGTGATCACACCCTTGGGATGAGATGAATTAAAGTGTTTTTGGATCCGGCTGCCTGATCGCTTTGTGTCAGCACAATGTTGCATAGGGCCCGAATCCAGCAACCTGGAGGGAGGGCTGCACCCCCCACGGAGTCCCATCTTTCACTGGCAGAGCTTGTTAAGATGACTTGGACAGCAGAAAGGAAACAAAGTTGTCCTATCTAGGAAATGTGTGAGTTCCTTCAAAACAAAAGGACAAAAGACTAAAACTGTCAATAAATCGGACAAAGTGCAAGGTTTGCGAAGGAAGGAAGCCAAAAAAACAAAACAAAACACTAGGCTCCATGTGGCAGTTTGACAAGAATAAGAGTTTGAGGAAAGTCGGCTGAAGAACGTTAAAAGAAGTTGATTTAAATTATACTTTTTGTGCCTTAGAAAGAGGGATTCTATCTTTGCCTTTTGTAGCAGCATTCTGAATATCACAGCAATAATCAAACAGCTGCTGCTGTGCACCAAGGAAAGCGTCCTTTTTGCAGCTTAGTTCTCCAACTGTGCAGCCAAAGAAATTTCAAAACAGCCCAACATCCCCTTCGTTTCAATGGGCCATCTCCTCCCAACACAAGAGAACTGGAG